TAGTGGAAGCTTCTAGTAGCTTCTCACAGAAGCCACCCCTGCAGCCTCGCCACTACCAAAGCCTTGCCACGCAAAACCAATACACCATGATAAGATGCACAGGAAACAGAAAGCAAAATATTAGAGAGCTTTTAAATTGGTGGTAGATTCCTTAATGGCTTGTTGGTTCCATTTGTCTGCCCTCTGCAAGGGCAAAGCTGCTGTTGACTTCAGTGAGATGGCCAGATCAGGGGTTGCAGAATCCCAAAATACTCCTGGAATCAACGAGAGCAACTCCGGTTATACTGAACTTGCATTTGCACCGCTTACGACTGAACTTGTCCTCTATGCTGCAGGGCTGTACAGCTGCAAAGGTTGAGCAGTTTCTAGTTGGATCCGGAGAGAAAAAGGGGACCTGCTTTCAGAGGAAATTTCATAACATGCATGTGGCCTCACTACTTCTTCCTTAGTGGCAGAGATGATGAACCGCAAAGTGGACATCTTGGCGGAGGAGCACGAGTACAAAGGTGCTCTGAACCCAGTTAGCATTGCACCAGTACTTACTACATATTTCAGCTGAAGGCAAGCATCAATGCTTGAATTTTAGTAACTCAAGGTGCAAGTAAATTGCAAATAATTTAGGAATTCAGAATTTTATTAATTGTCAAAATAACATGATCCTTGTAGGAGTCGCATGGAAAAAAATGGGTGATTTTAGTCTGGACTTTGATCACCTTTTGAAATGGGTTAGGAGCGTGGTTACTTGTGATGGTTGGAGCTGATAGACGACTGTTTTGGGTCCGCGTTTCCCTGTTCGCCCAATGTAATGTGAACTGCTGCTGGCTGCAGGTAGGGGTGACATCTGCCAGAGCTCTGCTGTCGGCTGCGGGTTACGGAGGGGCTGACTCCCCGGCAAGCTGGGGTTGCAACCGGGGTGTCCATGCGGCAGAGCCGGGGGTGGCTGCCCGAGACTTTTAGGTGGCCCTTCTGGAGAAGCAGAGCTGTTCTCATGCCAAATCTCTAACGCTCCCATTTCTCCTAATTTTCTTGGGAATTACTGGGTACAGAAATACTGAGCTATAAAATCGAGGTTACAGACATTGTAATTCGTAATGCAGAAGGTAGTCCTGTGAGATTTAACTTTGTGAGCTGCTTTTTTGTGTGTCGCTTGTTTTGGGTGTCTGTCCCACATTTGGTCCTTGGCAGGTGAAAAATGCGCACGTTAGTATTTTGTATCCCTTTAATTAATTTTGCGTGACTCTCTTTTTCCAGGTAATTAGGCTAGAAAAAGGTTCAAGAGGACTTTGCTTTTGGGGGCTGATTTAAAAGAAAAAAAGAAAAACAAAGTGGGGGGGAAAAAAAGCATCAAATAAATGTAATTATTTGCACAATATTTTTCGTAGTGTGTTTATGATATTGGAAAACCTGTGCTCATAAAACACATTGTTAAGAGTCTATTATTAGATCATGAAACTTAAGAGTTACAATTTTTCAACATCTCTTGGTCATTCAGTGTTGCAAAGACTCTTCCTGTTTTCGTGTAGACAACAGTGATTTCTTATGACTGGGACGTAGTGTATCATCATGTTTGTTTATTAGACTGTGCAAAACAATGACAAAGGGGATTTAATTTTGGTTTTATTTGATATTCTGCACTGTAATGACTGATAGTAGTTGTTACTAGTGTACTTTCAGTTGTTACTAAATAATTTCAAAGTACTTTTTTTTCCTCACAGACCGTAGGAAATTGCATTAAGATGCATTATAATCCCATTTTGGTCACTTTGTCCAATGTAAAATATGAAATCTTGAGTGTCAGGTTTATCCAAATAGGAGTATAAACCTACATGCCAGATGGAATCTATCACTTGATGTTAAAAAAACCCAAATCCTGAAACTACATCCCCAAATATGGATGAAATGTTTTCTCCTTTTAAAATGCCTTTTAGCTAAAATATTAATATAGAATCATGAAAGAGGAAATAACTGTCCTGTCAGCTGAGCAAGTAAATAGATTTTCAGTAGAGTAGGGAGGTCATACTTACATGTTAACAACAACTACTGAGCCCGAGTGCCCTTCAAAGGCACTTGTCTTTCCAAGCCTAGCTTGGTGTCATCTTGCCCTCCCTCTTTCCAAGCTGGTGAGGAATTGGAATATTTAAGTAGATTATTTTGTCTTAAGTAGCAGAGGAACTGCATTCCTCCTGCATGCTGTGCCTCTGGTTGCCCCTTTTTGTTTCTTGACACAAGGAGCAGGTCAAACATAGTTTGACGTCATTTGGCGTTTCTGTTACAGAAATGCAAAGTGCTGTTGAAGTGATTAATTAATCTCCTGAAATGTTTCAAAAGAAATTTTCTTTGTTTCTGCATTTTACCTGCACTGAGTTGAAAGGATTATTGCTTTTATTGTAGGAAAAAAAGAGTAAAACTGACAGTGGCAGTAGACTGTACTAGCAGAGACGTGCACAAAGTAGTTCTGCAAGGGCAGAGCTATTTGTGTGGCATAAACCAATGCGAATCTGGCTTCTAGTGGTCTTCTCCTTCCTCCTTTTCTCAGCCATGCTTTCCCACCCCTTCTTTTTGGCTGAGCCTGAGGCATATCTGATGCACAGGCTGGTTGGGGAATCCAGCTAAAAATTAATCCTACCCAAAAAATGGTAGTTTGCATTCTGATTCCATTAAAATGTACTTGTCCAGGGTCCAGTGAGAGAGGTCTGCTTTTCTGTTTGCTTTTTCTTTTAAATTATTATTTTTATTTTTACTTTCTGGCCCCAACACTGGCAATACTCCTCAGAGTAACAGCTATTATGGAAAGTGTTCTCGTCACCTGGTCAAAAGAAAAGGGAGAGAAATTCCCAAGATGTCATACAGGTTCTCAATGTGCTTTCTGGGCCAGCACTGAAGGAATTTGAAGCATGTGAGTTTAACTGCATGGATTGAAATGTGATTACTGTTATCTGAAAGTTCTTTGTAAATTCATTAATACCTTGTAATCAAGATTAAAACCAAATCAGCATGCGTGTAGGATGTTTTTTCCAGGAGTTTACAGACTGGGAGGGGTGTGGATACACCATGAAAGGTCAGATCTACCCTCCACAGTTAAGGTTCCTGATTTCCAGGGTACTTTAACACAGCACACTAGAAATTTCTGTCGTGATCTGGAAGCCTAAAGATTCTGGAAAGCATTTATTGCACTAAGCATGCAAGTAATAAAGCCACACGCTAAAAGCCCAGAAAGCATGTGTCTACTCAACTCCCTCGGGATCTTGGCTGATCCCTTTTCTTCAGACCTTACTTCTTGACTGATTCCTCTTTCTTTTCTCATCCTCTTTCCTGCTGTTTTCTCCTATTAATGAGCTCTCCCACCTGCCTCGCTCCCCAAAACACTTCAGCACTTGACCATCTGTCACTGCTGCTGCGCATCCTTACTGTTCTAAGAGAAAGTCTTGACCTTGAGCTGGAGCGTGTGATCTGTGATAAATAGCTTACAAACTGGCAAATGAACCAATATTACAAATAACTCGCTTTATACGTCACACATGGAACAGCACAAAATATGGAGGCTGCTAGGTCTAAATGCTCAGTCTGTAAGTACAGTTCTGAGAAGAAGATGCATCCAGTAAATCTGCAGAGGTTTGCAACGTAACACATGGATCCGTGCACACGCACTGGGCAGTGAGATTCATACCCTGCCCTAATAACGCATTTGATTTGGGAGGTGACCTCAGTTATTAGCTGCAGCTTTATATGAAGCTTTTGCAGATGACTTCACAAATAAAAATTTGTAAAATGGCTGTGCGAGTACAGTGAGACTAAATGTATTTTCCAAGAAAGATTATTTTTGCTTTGCTTAAGACTAAGTTTAGTTGAATCAGCAGAAAGGCTTTTTGACTTCCTGTCTCTGTGTAATTATAAGCTGATATTCTACATCAGCTGGTTAGTCATGGTAAATTATGAAAATGATGCTGTTCATTGGCAAGCTGTTGTTATAATAAACATATTTATTGCTTGGGTTTTGGGGTTTTTTTTTAAGGATGTTTCCCTTGAAACAAAAAGCTTAAGAGTAACTTAAACTGCAAGAACCCATGTTTTTCAAAATATCTGTCACAGTATAGCATAACTAAACGTGACAGATGTTCAGAGTTTTCTGACAAGTTAGTTTTATCCATGTGATTTGCAATGTTTTATAATAATTGAACCCAATAGTTGAATCTAGTCTGTTCCAACTACAAAGCAAAACATTGCTGTCAGGTTAGGCCTCCAAATGCAGGTGATCTTCATGTCAAAACTTGTCCTCAGAGTCCTGTAATGGAAACAATGCGTTGAACCAGTAAGTGCTGATGGTGTAAATCCAGCAGGATGAAGCACAGCAGGAGATAAGGGAGCTCTGCTTCCTTGGGATTTAAGGAATATTAGAGATGGGTAACTCCCAAAGATGTCCATTCTCTATGGGATAAAAGTCAGTGGTCCTGCCATGGCAAGTCTTTGTGACCTGACAGTGTGATAATTCTGATTTATTAATGATATTTTTTGGGGGGGGGGCTATGTTTTAACAGTTTCATTCCTTGGCTCCAATGTACTACCGAGGTTCAACAGCAGCTGTGATAGTTTATGATATCACCAAACAGGTAAGACCTTCTGGACGCTTTTCACCTGTGTTAACACCTCTGCTTGGGCCAGAGTAAAATCCACAACTGCAGAAGTATTTATATTTTCATTCCTGTTCACGTCAGTGGGGTTTATATGCTTTGGTAGTTTGGGTAGATTTGGATGGAGGCGTCCAACTGCCTTAAAAGCTGAAATATGAAGTCTAGCTTCTGTGTTATTTAAACTTTGTCCAGACAAAATGTTGGAAACAGCATTTTGTAGAAGTTTCTTTGCCTTTTCTCTGGCTGAGTAGACAGGATGATATCCTGCAGTAGCCCCTCCAATCACCACCTATGTTCTCTATGTGGATTCATTTTTATACAAAAAGGAGCTAGCTGCTTTATCAACTGAAACGGAAATTTAGTTGTTTGCATATTACGGATTTTAAAACTAATTATTTTTAGTTAAGCATATAATCTCATGTTTGCATTGCGGGGCTCAAGTCTTAACTTTGAAACCAGTAATGAAATAATAAGTCTCTGACCTTAAGTCTCAACATTATTCATTTGGAACGAAAATTGTATTTTCAGATCCTAAACTGCTCTTGCTCATTTCCCAAGTGGAGGAGGCTAGGAGGTTCTAGCTGAATGCCTCTTCCACTGCTTCTGAAAGAAACTCCTGCTGATAAAGCTGAGTTAGAGGCGGCATTAATGGATGGATGGTCGTGACAATTCACTTGCATTTTATTCCTTTCCTGCCAATTGAATTATTTACTACTAGGTTGAGAGAGCTGGGTTGGTTCTCCAGTGCATTAGTGTAATGATCTGTGGCTGATGATGCTGGCCACTGTTGCGCAGCGGCACTGTTCTCCTTTGCTAATTTGCCAAGAAAAGATGAGGAAGAGTGAATCCTGCTGGATTGATACTTATTTTTAATTTAAATGTCTTACAGTTGATCTTGTAATGCATTGTAAGAAGAGAATTTTGTTTTGCCAGCCTTTTTCCAAGCTTATATGGAACAGCTCACAGAATAAAGAGGGGGAAATAGGAGAGGAAGTCAACGTGTATTTCACTTTCTGATTCTTAATATTCAGTGCTGACCATTAAAGCAGAATGGGTCTTTTTTTCCCAAATGACTGATAGTGCTCTCCCTTCAGTGACATTGATACAGCCATGGATGATTTAGACACAACTCTTATGTGCATTTCTGAAGGGGAAAAAATGATGTATAACATATTTGGGAGCTCCCTTTGAGTTTCAGTAATAATTTCAACCATGCGTTATAATTAGAATCTCTAGGAACAAAAGTGATTTTAATGCTATTAATTCATTAGTGTAAAGAAATAGAAAATTTGCTATTAAAAGGTAGGTAGCATCAAAAAGTGTTTGAATTTTGTAGTTGGAGGGAAAAAGCCAAATGAATTGTCACCTGTCTCTTTGGTTTCATAATGAGTAAATTGAGGATAACCAGGTCACAGATTCAGAAATGCGGGGGTGAGGAGGTCACTGAAACCTCTCTTGGATGTTACCAAAAATATGATAGTGGTTGAGATAGTAATCCACCAGGCAGAAGTTGAAATTAGACAAATGAAGCTTACATTAAAAGTGAAGGAAATTAGCTACCAGCCGAACTTAAAGAGCTGTGGTAGTTTCTTCATCACTGGAAAATTTAAGTAAAACATTCAGTGCTGCTTGGGGGGAGGTGGGGGGCAGAGGGGAAAGTGTCCAAGTTCAAGCAAGAATTAATTTAAGGAAGTCTTATGACCTGAAGTTTGAAAAGCCGATTACATAGATAGAGCGATCTTCTTCTGGTTTTGTGATCTGTAAAATTATTATTGCATTAATACTGTCAAAGCTGTGTTCCTCTAACTTTAGAAAAATAAGCAAATACATCAACAGAGACTAGGCTGTTAGCTTATTTGTTATTTCTCTGACTTAGGATTCATTTCATACTTTGAAGAAATGGGTGAAAGAACTAAAAGAACATGGTCCTGAAAACATTGTAATGGCCATCGCTGGAAACAAATGTGATCTTTCTGATATCAGGTAATACATCCATTTTTGTTGTTGCTTTGATTGCAGTAACTATATTGTTTCCTTCCTTCAGGTAACCAATTTGTTTTGTTGTTACAGTAGTATATCGTTTTGCTCAGCTGTGTTGAGTCTTTCCTAACACCAGTGGTCCTGCCAATGTACAGCCTCACCAGCAGCAGCACAACTTGAACTATGTACTTTGGGTTTTTTTGACCTCTCTTTTACTGCCCTTCCTCTGTATTTGTACAATCTACACCCTTTAGCTGCTGAATCATTGAGAACGGAAAAGTAGTCTCCTCTTTTTCCTTCCATTCATGTTAAAATGTGCAGAATGTATTAAGCGATGAGCAAAACCAGCAATGTAAAGCTAGAAGGGTGGGCCTGAGGTAGTATCATGTTATTCACAGGGCAGCTTTGAGAACTTGTACTTTGCGCTTTGCAACAACTGAAACTGTCCCGTAATAGTGGGTGTTGAAAATGTATTTTTGTTGTTTTTAGGAGCATAACCTCAAGTAAAACTTGTGTCACCTGTGTGAAGCAAAGAACCTCCTGGGTAAAAGAGGGAAGGGTTGAATCCACCCTCCTGCAGAAGAGCTGAGATGGTGCTATTTGAGATGAGTGATGCTAGAGTCACTCTTCTGCTTGTTAGGTCTAGTTTGGATTCACATTTATCCTTTCTGGAAGTGGAAGCACATTCTGCTGTACAGTAGTGATCCTGTGTGTCAGTCCATGACTCTGTTATTTCTTGCTTCAACTATGAGTACAAACTCAATAGCCATATTTGATGCTTTCCTCTTAGGACCTCATAGGCTCTCATGGTTGTTCAAGTATATCCCCGTGTTGTTTTATAATCATTACTCTGGCCCAGGTTCACCAAAGCCGTGAAGCACACGTATAACTTAAGTGATGTAGCGCTTCCGAAACCAACCTGGGTTTGGTTTGGTTTTGTTTGGGGATTTTTTGTTTCCTCCCTGCCCGTCAGCCACGAACCAGCACAAAATGGTGAGTTGCTGCTGTCTGTAAGACCTGAACAAGCCCTGATGCTAGAAAGATTCATGGTTTCTGTTGGGCTAAGAATTGGGGACACAGATAGTATATTGGCATCTCCTACTTGATGTTGTGATATACTTGTCAATGTGGTGAAGCTGAATCCTATAATATGAAACTAAAGGTTTCCAAATGTGAAGTAGAAAAAAACAGAGGAAAGGACAATTGTGAAAAATAAACCTAAAAACAAGTTAGCACAAACTGGAGTTTTCAGTTGCCCTGAGAATCACTTTAAATTTAAACTTAAGTGTTCCCAGCAATTCAATTGCCTGATTAAATCAAGGGTAGTAAGTTTGGAGACTGTGACAAATGACACTAATAGCACATGAATCCATAACCAGCCCTCCCCCTGCTTTTGGTAGCATTTGCCATGGCAGCAAGCTTTTAATTGCTGTTCCATAGGAGGCAGGTTAACTTGAGGACATGAAGGAAAACCTGCACCACAGAAGTGTTGGGAGAATACTGGACTTCCTCACAGAGTGTGATCTTCCCACCACGTTCTTCTCAATTGCTACCCGTTGTTTACTGATCATCTGTTTCTTGCTCCAGCTCAGCCAGTACAGCTCTTCCATGCACAAAATGTTATGGCATTTGCATGGTGCTCATTTTCCTCAGTGAGCTAATGTCTCTTAGTCATCCTTTTTTTTTTTTTTCATAATTATGAACAGTTTTGAGAATTTTTTTATGCTGTTATTCCTTCCACATACCCCAGCCATTTCTCTTTCTAAAGTCATCCAGTGATGACCAGTTAAAGGGATTTTGGTGGACAAATAGAGAGCAGACTATATGGTACGTGATATGTTTTCACAGTTCTTCCAAACAATCTGATTGCTTATGCAATACATGCAGCTGTATGTATTCTCTGGCTGCTTTATGTCTTCAGTAAAAATGATAGTAGGTGAAATGTGTCACCACTTTATCAGATTGTTTCCAATGAGTAGAAAATATATATGCCTTTGGGCAAAGAGAATTTAAAAATAAGATGATGTGAGCACACAGGAGCAAGCTGCTGTTTATATGCATTTTTGGCATCTCTTTTTGGTTTTGTAGAACTTCTGGCAGATGTTTTGCTGGCTATTAGAGAGACAGCTGCTTTTAAGACCAGTGTGAATAGAAGCAAAAGAGGACTAAAGCTGACCAGGTCCAAGTTTATTTGATTCTACCATCTCTGACTGTAGGAGACAAAGTAAGGAGGAATAAATGGAAGCAATAAGAACTTCTTATTTTCCTCTGGGAAAAGACTGGCATTATTTCTTATAATCATTGACCATGTTACCCTCCTCATTTAGCATCTAAAATTTGGTTTTGAGCTGCCAAGATGGATTTGGGACACTCAGGGGTCATGCTGCTTTTCTCAGTGTTGTTAATAGGCTATCAGCAGTTTTTGGCACTCTGTTGAAGTAAATTTCTTCTCCACTTTGAAGGATTTTCTACAGGTAGACAGGCAATTTTGTTTAGTATAAATCCTCACCTTTCTTATAGTACTGTCAACTCTAGTACTGTTGAGTGTTTGGCATACTTTTAAGTAATAGTAGTAGGCTTTTCCTTCTGGTATGTGTCCTGTCCTTCTGACAGGTCATTAAAAAGTAGTTTCAAAGACAGGAGCCGTCTGTTAATTGTTAAAATATTGTAAGCGTCCAAAATAGTTTTTGAGCATTATAGAAGACAGTAGTCATAACAGCAACTAAGAAGTGTTTACTTCCCTAAAAACATGGTGCACCTTCTTAACAAATTGTGTTCACTGGAAATTGCCAGACCCTTGGTTAAGAGAGTTCAGCAGAATTTCATGCTTGGATCTTCCCTCTATGCATCCAGAGTATTTCTTTACTCAGTAATTATTCAGAAAGTCTCAAGGGAGATTGAATCAACAGAATGATTTGGAAAGGATAAAATGAAATAATTGACATCTTTCAGAATAGGTATTCCTCTACCTTTCCCCATAGCCTTGGAATAACACTTTGTCAGCACTCCACTGATGGTTCTTGCCTTCTTCCCTCTTCACCCCACCTTGTGTGTATTCATACCTTGGCTTAGAGGTCAAGCCTTTTTTCCTTTTTGACAAGGTAGCATCTTAGCAATGTTGACGTGCAGATTATGATAACTCCACTTGATGTATGCAGCCTTCTCAGTGTCAACAGCACTGGATGGCATGATGCTCATTGCCCATATCTATGGACGTTTATAGGCTTCCTTTAGAAATGTTGTCAGAGAAGGCTAAGAAGTTTTGTGATGCTTCCTTGGAATATTGTCACTTGCTGCTGTTTTACGTTTTCCTTGATTCCTGAAGTTTGCTTTCTCATCTAAATTACATCAAGTTGAAAGTCTCCATTACATAGCCCTGCGCTCTTGAATTTCTTCCTTTACTACCATTGTTTGAATTTGTTGTTGTTACATAGTTAAGTTCCTTTTTTCTTATCTCCGGGGCCATCTGCAGATGGTGGTACCTTTCATAATAAAAGCCAAGGTGCCATTTAGAAATAGTAAGGGGAATGCTGCCTTCCCTGTGTCTTCCGCAATAAAAAGACATGTAATACAAAGAAGCAAGTAATGGACTAGGAGTCTCTGGATTGGTACATTGGAGCTATGGGGTGAAGGAGTTGGTGCAAAGTATGCATGTGCAACAGACAGCTATAAAGCCACACAAAACACACCAGTTAACGTGTTGAACAACTGGAAGAAAAATATTGCTGGCAGCGTGGTGTTTCAACATGTGCTTCTCTGATCACATGTACCTTGGGTGCCTGTTAGGGTGTTCAGTCTCTGATTCTGAGCTGTTGCTCAAAAATCAGGAATAGTGGTGGTTACAGACAGCAGTGGACCCAGGCAGATTCAGCTTTGCCACCGGGCTCAGGCAGATGCAAGGTCAGCGTGGGGCTTGCTTTGTGTCTGAAGCAGAGGTATTTTGCATGTTGTAAACTGCATTTACCAGCTTTTGGCATATGAAGTATTGGCTACAAAATGAGGATGTTCTACCAGTGATTTTACAGTGGTGTCACTTTGGTGACATGGCACAGGATGGTGGTCTTCCCCCAGTGAATCTGGCACTTCCAGATTGCTCTTGCCAATGTGCTCGGAGTCAGTGGCTTTCATATTTCTTTCAGAGTCTCTCTTGGTTTCTTGCTGCTTGCAAACACTTAGGTATATGATGATCTTACTGTTTTCTTCCACAGCAGTCGTACCCTATCTTGTTTGAACACTTGGTGTGGACAGTGCTGGTTGCTGCCTCGGTCAGCAGAGTTGTATGTCTTTTCCCTGGTGTTTTAATCCTTTTCTTATTGGGGTCAAGTTTAAAAAACAAACAAATGGAGTTGTCAATTAAGTTCTCTTCCTTTTTTCAAGGCATGGATTCAGCAGCAAGTCCAAGAAATCTGTAGATCGATCATTGGTGAAATGTTGATATTTTGAATGTGATGATCTAAATGTTGTAAGAAGAAGAAAGATAGTACTACTTTTGCAGGGAAGAAGAGCATACTAACGCTTTTTTGATTATACTGTGTTTGAGGTCTTCCCCTCCCCCCCCGCCAACCCCTGCAATGAAACGATTTTTTTTTAAATTTTATTTCTTTTATTTGTAATTTTTTTTATCTAGGGAGGTTCCTATGAAGGATGCCAAAGAATATGCAGAATCTATAGGTGCAATTGTTGTTGAAACCAGTGCAAAGAATGCTGTTAACATTGAAGAACTTTTTCAAGGAATAAGTAAGTAAATGCTCCCTTTATTTATTTATTTAATTAATTGTGAGTGGTTTGGAGGTCTTCTGAAAATATCTGTCTGTTTTGGGTCTAAAAACTTCTCTCCCAAGGACATCAAGAAATCCACTGGGCCGGTAGTATGGCTGCTGTTTATGCAGATATAAACTAAGACTGACTTTGAATACACCAGAGCAAAACATAGTAGATAGTAGATATGGGGTAAGTCTATTCCTTCTACATCTATATATAAATCCTGCCCTGTGTCACATCTTCTGCTTCAGACCAAGCCTGCTCTAGAGGCAATACTGTTGATCTTATCATCATGTTGATAAAAACTTAAATGTTGAGAAATGCGCCTGGAGGGCTATGATAAGTAGAAAATAGTCATCACAGTGGAATCCATTTAAAAAATATTTTCTCTCCAGGTCTTTAAACAAGATGAGACTGACCTTCCTCATAAGGAGCAGAAAAAATGTTCAGTTTGTCTTCTAGGGGTTCCAGTTTTGGTCTCTGGCTGCAAGTGGGAAGGACTTTGCAGGCTGGAAGGGACCTCAGGAGACCTTCAGTCCAACTTCCCACTCAAAGCAGACTTGATAGTGAATTTCTCGAGCCATTGTCTGGCTGGGCCTGAGAGCAGAGGTTCCACAACTTCTCTGGGCAGCTGAGTTCAGTGTTCAAATAGTCATCACAGTGGCATCCCCCCCGGTGTATCAAGTCAGAACCTCTCCTGATTCAGTTCACGGCCACCGTCGCTCATTGTCCTGGATGCGCCTCAGTAAAGAGCCTGCCGCTGTCTTCTTAGCAGCCCTCCCCATAGGTACTGACGGGCGGCTTTGCAGTCCCCCGAAGCCGTCTTATCTCCGGGCTGAACAGGCTCCATTTGCTCAGCCCCTCCTCACGGGGCCAGTGCTCCAGCCCCCTGACTGTCTTGGTGGCCTTCCTCTGAACTTGTGCCAGTTTGTCAACATTTTTCTTGTATCCTGGAGCCCAAAACTGGATGCATTACACAGCTTGTGTCAGACCATATCTAGAAGGGGATAACAACTTCACTTGATTACTAGCTTGGCTCCGTTGGTTTGACTTAGGATGCTGTTGGCCATCTTTGCTGCCAGGCACACTGCTGGCTTGTGCTCACCTTGCTGCCCTTGGGTCCTTTTTGGCAGAGCTGCTTCCCAGCCCGCCAGTCCCCAGCCTGTCTCATAGCCAGGGGCTCTTCCTTTCCACAAGCAGGGCTTGGCATCTGAACCACATAAGACTCCTGTTGGTGCATTCCTCCCTCCAGCCTAAAGCCCTGCCCTCAAGGGTATTGAATGCACCTCTGAGCTGGGTATCTTCTGAGGGTTGAAGTGGGTGCATATTTTTTCCTCCTTCAGGCCACTGATAAAAGGTAGTAAGCAAGGCACTCCACTTGTAACTGGCCTACAGGTAGATAACTACTGTTAACCACTGGCCTTTAAGTCTGATGATCCAGCCAATTTTTCACACAGCTAACAGTCTGCCTATCTAGACGTACAACATCCCAACTTGGATATACTAGGATACTGTAGGAGAAGGTATTGAAAGCCTGGCTTAAGTCAAGGTAGACAACATCCAATGCTCTTCCTCAATCGCAGGCCCAGTCATACTATCATTTAGGGCAACCAGGTTGGTTGGACATGGTTTACCCTTGGTAAGTCCATGCTGACTGGTCCCGGTCACCTTCTTTACCTTCATGTGCTCAGAAGCAGCTTCTGAGAGGATTTGCTCTGTGGTTTTCCCAGGAAGCAGAGTGAGGCTAACCAGCCTGTAGATCCATGGCTTGTTACTGCCCTTTTTGAAGACAGATACAACATTCACCTTTCTTCAGTCACAAGGGACCTCCCTCCACAACCTTTCAAAAACAATAGGCATGATAAAGAACGGCCTTACAGTGACATTGGCCTGCTCCCTCTGCATCCTCAGGCTTGTATGGGTTGAGGTTTCTTAAGAGCTCTATGAATTGATCCTCTTCCACTACTGGTGGTTCCTCCTCCCCCTGAATCCTGTTTTGGGGTGCAGAGGCCTAGGAGGACAGTATGTCCAGAAACTCAACTTTGTTTCCCTGAAGTCTTTTATTTTATTTATTTTATTTTATTTCACATATTCATAATCAGCTCATGTTATCTACCACACTTTGCCTGAGATGGGGCCTGTTCAAGTGTTTGCTTCTCTTGCATGGGATGCATTTGAAATGGTTAATGAGGATGAATATTCCTAGAATACTCTATCTTTATTTTACCTTATTTAAAAAAGGAGGAGTGTGTAACATGGCTGTCTGGAGGAACCGGTTCTTCCTTGTGACAGTTTACTAGATTGTCTGCATATGACAGATGCAGATGTGAATGTTCTCATGGAGAAATTAATCCTTGCCATGTGATTCGATAATTAGTTTCCATTTTTTGATAGGCAATGCTGCAGCTGGCAGTGTACACTGTCCCTAATAATGGATATAATAGATGAGGAAAATCGGCTAAATTAAGTTTAGTATGAACTAGATACCCAGGCAAGTGCACTTAATTCCACAGGCAATTATTTCTATATATAGAAATATTTGGTGTCAGTGGATGTACTCATGACCTTATCAAGTACTCAGCAGAGAGAAAGGAGAGAGTTTGTAGTGTATGTTTATAGAAATATAGTGGAAACCAAGTGAAAAATGCTTAATTAGCAGGAGAATTAATTAGTATGATTGTGACTGGGCAGAAGGTATGGATAACTTTCCGATGTTTTACACCTCTCCAGTCTTTGTGCAATTTCAAAAAAAGTCTGTTTATGCCCAAGTTGCCTGGCAGCATTTCTGCCTTTTCAGTGTATGAAGTCCCTCTGTGGCCGTATCTCCTACCCTGTTGACTAATTTTATTTCTGTGGTGCCCTAGAAGTCATGCTGCAGCTTTAGTTTTGCTTCCACGCTGCCCGAGAGTTCGTGCCCTTCTCTTTATGCTGCAGTAGAAGGGCATGGTGCAGCTCCCCAGCCTCTGAACAGGGAGACAGCAACTTCTGTTTACCTTGGATCTTGTAGGTAGACTGTATGTGTTGCCTATTTTACAGCTTGGATTTGGAAGGATATTCCAACATGTGTGGAGAATTTCTCCATTAAAAACCTTCTTGAAATTGATACTCCAGAAAGGGCGGACTGCATTTTAGTTTAGCTAAAAAATTTACCTCCTTCTAGCTTATGCTTTTCATTCCCCAGGGGATATTTTAACATAATAATTTTTCCTTCATAAGGTGTCAAACAACTGTCTCTTTTCCAGGGAAAATGTTGTGAATGGAGTGAAATAGTATAATGGGAAAAAATTACTCAACATAATGATATAAAGAAGGCGGAAAATAAAAGGGGAACTGGGATGTTTTGCTGACAACCAGATAAATCTTGGAAGAATTATAGAGATTATAGACAGACCACTTCATTTCTAAGGTTATTCTATTACACCATTTTTTAAAGATTTTTTAAAAATGCTTTTCTCAGGATTTGAGGATTTGACTGCTTTGAGGGATGTCTTAATAACAGTCTCAACACAAATCCACTGTCCTTAATTCTTCTCAAGAAAATACAAAAGACTAGAATCAGTAAAAGTTTCCGATTTTTTTTTTTTGAAGATGGGGCAAATCTGGCAGGAGAGGGGCTCTGCAGTCGGTGTAGTCAGGCAAATAAGACTGAGGAGGCAGACTGAGCACACGAGTCAGCAAAGTTGGGGTTCTCCGCGCTGGAGTTTTCACTGAGCTGCGTAATGGGATGCAGCTCCTGGCTGTCTGTTGCACCCCTGTGATTTCAGATGGCGAGCCACCACACTTGCCCTGGTTACATTTAGCAGCACCTGACTGAAGGCTTGCTGCGATTGTGAAACATCACGTGGCTGTTTTATTTCTCTGTAAACAAGAAAAGAATATTTTTAGTACAGCTGTATATCCCCCACTTGGGCTGAATTTTTCCCAATGCCTTTCTTGAAAGGTTTTTGACATAAAAAGGGCTTTAGATTATAGTGGGTTTTCATGCATTCCAGCAGTTCTTTTTTAATAGCTGAGTGTCTAAGGATCAAATGTTACTAATTTGTTATTCCCAGCCTTAGAAGAATCATAGGCACAGCGGCTCCTTGTTGCTGGTTTATACTTCAGCAGCAGCAAATATGCCAGGAATGTATTATACGATAGCAGTATAATATGGTATAAAGTTGTGCCTGTGCAGGGGGTCATACCAGTTCTGTATTGCCCCTTCTTGGTTGTGGGGCTTTAGTCCACTGACCGCTGCTTGTGCCTGGGAAGGCAGCTTGCCCATTAAAACTGGCTGGTTTTCAGTGACTAAACAAGCTGCCCCAAGCATACTGTCATTTAGTAGCAATCACACCCTTGCAATTTTCAGACACCCGTTCATTTAACAACCCAAATAAGCCTCAGTTACCTTATTCAAATCTAGTACACGCCCAGCTATTTCTCTTCAGCGTGTGTATTGCCTGTTACCTTAGCGTGAAGGTGCCCCAGATAGGAAAGAGAAGATTACATAAAAGCCATCGTCTGTAAATGATAGAGCCGAGACTGTACCTCCCAGGTTAATACCAGTCTGCATCAGTAGGTCCAAGGGTGAACGGGCAGTGGGATGAGTAAGCTGCTGAAGAATACCTAGCCAAGTGAAATATGAAATAAACTGGTGCTTAAACAAAAAAATAAATGATGGGCATGCATTATTTTTTTGAAGTCTGGCAAGTGTTGGAGATTGGTGTGCTACCAAAGGGCAAGATTGGAGCATTTCAGCATCTTCTGCCAAGGGTGAGAGGGAAGTGAGGAATAAGCGTATCAGAATCACTCTACATAAAGTGTGTAAAGAGTTGTTAGCAGGCTCGGTCTGACTGATGCTAGTACTATGAGAAGGAGAGACAGGCTGACGTTTAAAAATCCAGATAATTATGTTCTTCCTAGACCAGCCTTCCTAATTAGAGCAGAGAGTTTCTGTCTCAGTATACAACCTTTCATGTGGTAAATGCTCAGTTATA